ACGTTTCTCCGAGGTACTCACATGCGTCAGTGTTCCTCGTTTCCCTGTTCACTCCCGTGTTTGTATGAAGCCATTTGTAAATAAACTGAATGTCATTTGCCTCAGAGCTCATTTCCTGTGTAGTACAGTATGGGGGTTCAGGGTTCAGACAGGGTCAAGGAAGTAGCGCATTAGCATGTTTTATGGGCCATGCACCATGTACAATGTTCCATGTTCACAGCCGTCCACTCGGGGGCCTCGACATCCTGAGTTCGATTCTGATTGGACAGAGCAACGACGACAGCAGGAATCATTAAATCACATATACATAAACGCAGTGTGTGATTTTTCACGGCTCCATGGCGTCTGCTGTCTCTGACACTGTAAGTCCAACACGACTTATTCTCTCTTAGTTATCAACTTCATGCTGCCAAGAGAGCAGATCATTCCACCGTCTGCATTGACGAGAAATTCTCTCTGAAATTCAGCCTTTTTCACAGAACTAGAAAAAGTTGGGGCTATTCGTGTGGTTTTCTATGTTTCAGCAATTTTCAAGAAATGAGCTTGAGCAGCAGATTGTTATTACACTTTGATATGCTTTAATTGTCCTGTTTGTTTTTGATATATGTGCCCAGAACCCCCTAAACCTGTATACTCACACTGGATTGCTGGTGAAACTTCCGATATTGAATGAAAATTGATACAGGTCGATGAAATTAATACACTGTTGTGCAAAATATCTGAACAAGTGTAATGTCCCCTTTAAATTGATTCCTACACTTTACATTATGCACATAATCTGATTCATTTGAAGTGCTCTGTGGCTCTCTGAGTGCACCCATGAGTCGGTTGATATTAGATCTGTAATTGTAATGATTAGATGTGAGACTAAATTGATTGAAAAACTGTATAAATTATGTGAATCGATTAGGTCTTTGAAATCGCTGAAAACAATGAAAAATACTGTCTGACCAACAGTAACCCCAATGTTTTCAGTTTACAATGACACAATACACAGAAAAGCAGAAATTTCTAAGATCCCAATGATAGGAATTCCCATTTTCTTCTCCTTATGTACATACAGTTAACTGGATAAAGACATTTCACAAGTTCACTCTTGGCATCATTTGAACTATACTAGATATCACAATAGTGTGTTGAAAATTTATAATAATAATCTTTGGATTTAATGTCTATCTTTCTCATAACCTCTGTTGTATGTAATAAACCTCCATCAGCAGCGAGTCTCACCATATACAGAAGTCACTCCAACTCTGCAGGGATGATCCCTGATACAAGAAATAATCAAAATGAAAGAGGCAAACATGCAAACGCTACTCAGCCTTTGTGTTCTAAAACGTATACCTTCACAAGTTTAACTGACAAGTGCAATAAATCAAGGCAGGACCTTCCCGCTGAACCACGTCAGAACAAATGTATCACGCCAGAATGCTAATTCCCCACCAGCCTCTGTATAAACACAGAGATGGGGGGGAGGCGGAGGAGCGGAGGGTGAGGAGGGGTGAGGCACGGCGATGAGGGATGGTCAGGAATTCACTGGCCAGTCAGAGAGAGCGGGGGAGGGTTTGGGGAAGATTATAGGAGAGATGATTGATTGAGTTGACTTCATTTTATGACTCGGAAAAAAAAGGAAATCAAGGATGCAATGGAAAAGCTCCTCAGCGTAAATTGCTACCCTCAGTGGATCCACGCTGTGAATGCAGACATATGGTCAATTAAGACCTTATGTTGCTCATGAGGATGTCGGGTCGAAGCCAGTGTGTCAAATAACAAAGAGTCATTGAGCAAGAAATACAATCTCACCTGCTTAGTCACTGTAAACCGCCGTGGATGAAAACGCCTCAAATCTAAATGTAAAACATAAAATACTGAGGCCGCCTGATAAGGACCCTGATGGAAGAGACCTAGTGAGAGTAATGAGGTCGTATTTTAACAGCCTGCTGCGCTGATAAGTGAGGTGCTGGTTGTGAATGAGCTGTGAAAGTAAGAGCAAGCATCAACACTGACATTGAATATTATATTCAGTGTGTTTCCTAAAGCTGACATCCTCACAGATACGCATCTTATTCAACCTGGCAGCACGTCAAGAGGGCTCATGAAACACTAACGGTATAAATACTTTCCCTCCTCAATACTTGATTGATGCAAACACCCTGCATTAGCAGCTGCCAGATGTGGCTGTAAATGTCTAAGGTTGTGTATAGCATAACATACCATGTCCTACTCAAATGAAATGACACTTCAGGAATATATTACAGCTTAAAGTCATTCTTAATTGGAGGTGAGCCGGTGTAGCTGTCAGTGTTTCTAAACTCTTTATTTTTACTATATCTCGTAACCAGGTTTTAGGATTTAGTTTCCCATTTTGTATATTTCAATTTTTAAGGTCTATCTTTTTTTTAATATTATCTGTTATAGTTTATTCATTGCTGACATTTTATCAACCACATCATTGTTTTATCAAATGTTTTCTGTGGTCCTTATTTTTTTTCATACACTATGTACCCAATACTACTGTTTTATATATATTGTAGCCGTAACGTTTGATGATCTCTGTGGTTCTGCCACAATACTTATGTGAACTTTGATCAAAAACATTGTAAGATCTAAAGCTAATTCATTATTTTAAACATCACCGTTGGATGTAAAAGAAAAAAATATACACAATAAAAAAATAATGTGACTCTAAATGAAGTCAAGAGTTCAAACTAGACTATTTTTAATTAGAAATCAACTCAATGAAGAGCACAAAACAGAACCAGATGGCTCTAATCTCTTTTTGTTGATGGAGCGTTGTCAGTTTATTACTAAAGAGGTTTTCCAAAACAAATTCTCAAGCACAAGCAGTTTGTTCTCTGGATTATTGTAATTTATGACCAAAACATCCACTTTTCTCCCTCCTTAGTCCAGTTTCTATCACCTGGTAGGATGCATGCTTAAAATTAAAATGTATATCTCAGTGTGTCAAACCATAAACATCTAAATGGTATTTTCTCTACATGTCATTAAGTTGATGATAATACTACAATAATGATTAAAAGTACACATCTTTAATAAAGAGCTCAGTTAAAATGAAAGCAAAAACAATGTTAATGTTATTACCCCTGCAACTGATCACCCGTCATGATAAATTTGGTAATTTCCTCCGCAGCGTTAATATATTAGCTTTGAGTTGGGATATTCCCGGTCTCATTCCCATGATAGCTGCCACAGACAGAGTTGGTTTATGCATACTGGTCTGCTCAAATAAACCATACCAACTTAATGCCACCCACGTGCCCCTTACATCAAAACAGCTTCACTCTGCAGAGAGCAAACAGACCGTAAAGAAGTTTAGGAGGCTAATAAACACACATCAGCCTTTGAGATCAATCAGTCGGTCTCTCTCTCTCTCTCTCTCTCTTTGTTTTTCTTTATGCTGACTTGGGATACTAAGGCCACCGCTGTCACTCAAGATCAAACTGCCGGACTGACCACAGATCTGTCCTTTAGTGAGCTACAGATACTCAGGCAAGCTCTGACATCTAGTGGAGGATGGTTAAAGTGTCAAACACACACGCAAAAAGAAGGTTCATTCAGTTTGATTTCCAGTTTCTACTGATATTCTCTGTGTTGAACACTAATACTGTTAAAGTAATGCCTGAAAAGTGAAGACAGCTTGAGATTGTTAGTGTCCAGTTGTTCCATCATAGATAGGTGGCATGTGTGAGAGCTGGTTAAAATCACTATTTCTCTCATATTAAACTAAATTAAGTTACAAACCATTTCCCGCTCTTATCTTTAGTTTGTGACACACATTATGTTTCATCCTGCGTAGCGACTCCACCCTTTGAGCGGGTTGACACAAAGGTCACTCACAAATTCTCTCCAAGTTCACTTTATAGAGCAGCTTGTCTCGTCAAACAGGGACACAAAACCCTGCTTTAATTAGAAGCTTAACTAATTGCACAATATCTCCAACGATGCTGCAGGGTGAAGTGAAGCAGAAGGAGAAAGGAGAATGCTGTCTTTGTTGCCCTTTTTTTGCTGGTTTTGGCTCTGGCATCGGCCTGAGGACCTGGTCCTGCAAGTCCTGTACTCCTGTCCCCAAAACACACAAAACAAGCAGTGAGGAACATAAAGACAACTCGTGGAGAAGTACAACAGCTATGGCCAGTACATTAGAGGCTAACGATTTGAATTCTGTCTGATTAGAGCAGATTTTGTGGAAAAGCTTCATTTAATTTTAGTTGTTATTCTGCAGTAGAAGGTCCTTTATGCTTTACATGACTTGTTAACTTCTCATGAGATTTGATATAATCCTGAAGATGTGATTCGACAGAAAGTTAATAATTTATTTGCTTATGTTATCTCCAACTTCTCAAACATGAGCACTTGCTGCTTTTCTCACTTTTCTTGTCAGTTTATCAAAAATGTAACATCTTTGGACAGTTTTTTGTATTACTATACTATTTATATATGTAAAATTGGACTTTTGGAACTTATAAATGGACCTTTTTCAAAATGTTTAGACATTTTAGAGACTAAACAGATAAAAAATAATATTGGCGGATATATTGATAATGCAAATAGTCGAAGTTGAAGCCCTTATTTGATACAGACGTTTTTGGAAGTATAGGACAGCCCGGGGCACACAACGTTATTTGTGTATAATAAGTGCAGATGGCAGCAAGACGTCTGTCATTCTATTTATGGATGCATCCTCTAACATCGGATTGCTTTCAAGAACAAAAAGCTAAAAACTCAAGACAACATATTGGAAGTTAACTGTGATTTGAGGTTCCTCTCACACGTTTCAAAGGTGGTCTTTGCAACAAGCTGAACTCTCTGGTTTTGGATCACCACTCAGAGCTTGTTGCAAAAAAAAAGGGCCAACATCTCCCTCCCCTCAGTGTCCCCCCAAAACGCTGAGCAGAATAATGAACAGTAAACAAGGGGAGTAGAGGGGAGGGAGAAGATGGGGTGTCCAACTTGAACTGAGGGCTTAGACAAAAGACGGGGTGTCTCCACGGCGACAGAGTCGAGCCGTTTGAGTCACATGGCCCGGGTTTCTATTGAAACCAGTGAAGCTCAGCATTCAGTCCATGTTTTGGAAGCCAATGGCAGCAGGATGAGTGGAGCCCAACAGGACGGAGCAATGACGGCAGACAGCCTTCATCTGAACGGGACGGCCGCTTTGGGACTACTCGACCTGGAGACGAACACGGCTCTGTTTGGTGTGTTGCACTCTTTCATATCGCTTCAGTTTGATTTCACAGAACTGTCACAATAGAGTTTAACTGAATGAATGATGCTTCCTTTTGACTCTTTCATGTGAAACTGTTTCTTCTTCTTCTTCTCAGAGTTCAAAGTGTTTAACATTGTCATCATTGCCCTGGCCTTATGTATCCTCACTATCACCGGCCTGTACTGCATCACCGTCTGCTACAACCGAACCAGGTGAGGATCAGATTTCACATTTGCTTTGATGCTATACTAGGATCCATGGACGTTCCTACGTAGGTGCAGAGAACTAGTTTAATAGCACATAGGACCGTTGCATCATTGACATTTTAATATTGAGTTTACTTGTACTCCTTCTGCTGAGTGTTAGTTGACCGTACATTCAAATAGAGCACAAGGCATCACATTAGGTTACGTTAAAGTCATCAGTGCAGTCATCTTCTCCACCAGGCAGTCAAAGAGAGCCCATGTGTATGAGAGTGCAGTGACCCGAGGCGAGCCGGCGGACCCCGTGGCGGTCAAAGCAGTGAAGAGGTCCACCAGCTTCATCAACCCTCTCGCCTTCTTCAGGAAACCAGAGGCGGCCAGAGACAACTCCAGGATCTACTACATCTACAGTAACCCGCTGCCCATCGGACTGAAGGAGGAAGAGGATGAGTGGGCCGCTAAAGCCCCGCGGGGACCAGAGGGGCAAAGTGCAGTGACGCTGCCGCTGACGTTTCAGGAGTACGCCAACGATCCCAACAGTGGCGTCACCTTGGACCCTCCCATATTTTACATGCAGCTCTAGAAGGTGTTGAAGAGTTGTGCTGTGGGGTTGAGGAGGAGAAAGTTGTCTGAATGTATCGAGGCGGCACTAGAGAGACATCGCAACCTGGAAGGTCTGAGCTTTGACTCTGCAGATGTGTCAGTCAAAACTAAAGATATGTCCTCATGTACAGGCCACTGAAGGGGCACTCCACCCATTTTACCAATTAAAGTAAGTTTAGTAATCATGGGTGTAAAAAAAACAAACAGGAAATAACCCTGATGATGTCATAGTGATGTCAGGGTTGTGTCAGCAAAGGCTTGGAGACTACGAATTGATAACAGAAACCCTGCGTTATAGACTGGGCTATGACGTTTGACAGAGGCGGGTGTTTACCAGGAACTTGAGACGCTATAAAGTTGCATTATGGGGAAACGTAGGATCTGAAAGCTTGGTCCATATTAGGGACTAAAGTTCAGGATATGTCCACTGCTGCTTAAATGTTGGCCATTCCTTATTTACATATGCCCCTGCACATCAACATCTTAAGTGCCTGATTAACCTGAGGGCAGCTCTGTCTCTCTCACTGCAGGCGTGTGTGTGTGTGTGTGTGTGTGATTGCACGCAGGTGCGCTGGAGTCAGGGCACAACCATCAGCTGCATCTCATCACCATAATCAAGCCTCTTCAACTAGTCTGCTGTCTCCACACCGCCAGATCGAAAACTTAAATACCATCCTGCTCGTCCTCTCAGCTACCAGCTCCATATCTCCCCCAGCCCGTATTTTTCAAAAATAAATAACCTTAACCTTGCATCTCACTTTGGGTTCACTAGTTCTGCAGCCCTGTAACATCTTTGTTTCAGTCTGTCACTTGTGTGTCTTATGAAAGTACAAAATGTAATCACTGGTGTGACCATTTAAAGCTTCAGTCTACGTCCAAGTTAAAAAGTGTGTTAACAGTTTTACATGAAAATCAATATGGGCGGGTGCAAGAGCAAACAAGGATGTGTGTGTGATATTGATCCACGCAACTGCATTGGGTTCTACCGATACCTGTTCTGACGTCACAGTTTTAGCCAATAGAAGGTGGAGCAAGAGTTCTCTGTCCCTGAAAGATAGAAGCAGGTACCTGTGGAGTTTTTCCACCACCAGTAGTGCTATGGAGAGCATTGCTATTTATTAGTGAGTCCCAGTTTTGTTTGTTCCGGATACAGTCGTGAGCACACGACAACGTGATCCACATTTCTGCCATGCTTACAGCTGTTCTATTGACAGACAGTTGGCGGGTACAGAGGCTAAGAAGCGCAGCAACGTGGCAGCAGAAGCAGGGGATGAGAAGACTGCAAGCTAGCAAACATGGACGCAAACAGGGCAAGGTTTTAAATATTCTGCAGGTGTTTTATAAAACAGACAATGCATTCATGTCTGTAAGGCCTTCATGACTGCATTGTGGTGAGAAACACTGAATGTAAACAGAACACACATCAGGGTGCAAAATGTAAATGGATTATGCTACTAGTTAAATAGAGGCTTAATAATCATGCATATGTCTAAAGTTGTCATTGTGGATTTTTTTTTGAAAATGCATATTAGGGATAGTCTTTGAATATGTTATGTATTTTTCTTATTTACTTTCTTCACTTCATATTTTCCACACCTTAAGAAAGGTTCTTCCACATCCGAATAACCTGAAAAAGCTCATTAGAGACACAAAGTAGCAGACGTATAAACATTCTTTCTTGATTTTTAAAATGATCTTTAATAAAACTGCTGATACAATGTCTTTTACAAAAGAAGCCGAGTGTGAGACACTGAGAAAGATGAGGAAAAATACCAACGATTATCACTGCAGAGCAATTGATCGCACAGTACTCCTGGGCAAAAGGATCGGGTTGCGCGAGAGTGCGTCCTCAGACGATTGGCTGGGTCTCTCTGGTCAGCCACTCCAGTGCCTCCTTCCTGCCTTGCCTCTCCATCTCTGCTCCAATCACGTCCCGGCACTTTCTGTTGTACTCGTTCACCCAGTCGCGCTGCAGGACAGAGAAGAGGGGCCATGACACTCTGAGGAGACTGTGGTTAAGTAGTGCATACTGTAATAGAAATAGATGGGAATAATAACAAAACTTTTAAGTGCATGTATCGTGATTTGAAATTGTTCCTACGTGTCACATTTTTTCTGCAACTCTTACGGAGTGTTAAGTAGGCTACATTTGATTGTTTTGTTGTGTTTGAAGTCTTCACCAATAAAATGTTTTGAGACAATCTTTTAATGGGTGGATTTGATTATTTGAAATATTACACATAATCCCACTGGATGTTCCTTACCTCCTTCTGAGTGAGCAGCTCTGTGCTCATCATCTTCACTTGGATAGGAACCAGAGTGAGGGGCTCAAATGTCAGACTACCTCTGTTTCTGTAGTTGTACTGAACACACGGACAAAAAAACACAAACATACTGATTTTCCTGATGCTATAATCAAACAGTAAAATGAGAATAAGGTATTTTCCCCAGTGTTTCCTGGTTATTCCCCTGTTAGTGTCTCTCTCTGTGTTTTGTTATGTCTGTGTGTGCTGGCGTGGCCGTATATCTACTCCATGTATCTACTCCGGCTGTCCAACCAGTCCATGCCAGGTTGTTGTCTCCACCTCAGTGGTAAACACACGCTAAGGCCAATCGATAACGCTTAGCGTTTGCATTTCCCGTGTCATAACCTGCTTTTCCTGTAACCCAAGATCACCATTGGCCTGCTACCAGTGCATGTGTATTGAGAATAAATCCCTTCCAAGCATCAAACTCTTTGGATTCCATGATTATATGAACATCAGGCCTTGCTCTCAGTTGAAGGACCTACTTTGGTCTTGGCTGGTACGACAAGAACCACATTTTCGATACGAATGCCAAAAGATCCGTCTTCATAGTACCCAGGTTCTAAAAGAAAGAAAGAATTGAGTTTATTATGATGGTGCTTTTAACTTCTGCAGAGGTTTCCAGCATGACAAACGGCTCAATTTGACAGTATGAATTAAAAGACATTACAGAGTCCTGCTACTGTGATATTCACTGGCTGAATCAAAAGCACTCCCTGCCATACCATCACTGACGATCATGCCGGCCTCCAGAGGTTCATCGGCGAAGGTCTTGTAGCTGATGCCGCATGGCCCCTCGTGGACGTTGAGGAAGCAGCCCACGCCGTGGCCCGTCCCGTGAAGGTAGTCCAGCCCCGACTCCCACAGAGCTGCCCGGGCAAATGAGTCCAACAGGTGGCCTGCAGAGGTAACGCAGGATTAACATTTAAATGTGAAACTGAATGGGTTTGTCTATGTGTTGGCACTGTCCAGGACCCTGTTTACTAGTTACTGACCGAAAGCATGCATGCACTATTCCTGAGCGACCACATGTTTACTGTTGACTTGTTTTTTTTTCTAACAACAAGAGACACTGTAAACACTGTATGAGTGAATAACTCATCTGCACGTCAGTGTTTGTCAATGCTGATCATCCTGGTATATTATTTACAGTGTAAGGTGTCAGATTATAGGACAACACCTTTCGTCCCGTTGGGGAAAACAGCAGCACTGACAGCTATGTGTCCCTTCAGAACATAGGTGAAGCATTCCTGGAGGAAAGAGAGGGAGCACACAACACAAACAATACAATGAAATATAATCAGGGTTGTGACAAATTCAGCTAATGTATGATGACAACGCTTTTGCTTTTACATGTTGAAAATATTAACAGCTCAAATAGCTTTTTGTCGATAAACTAAACTCCAACTTGAGTTAGACTCATTGTGACAATGAAAACATTGCGCTAGCAAATAACTGAATGTACCTTCTCAAAAGCTGATGGTGTCCCAAAGTGCACGGTGCGTGTGACGTCCGTGGTTCCATCACTGCCAAAGACACAATAAGCAGATGTTTGCGTGTAAAGCACAACAACACACAACTGCTCCTATGTGGTCCGTGTTCTTGGCATGGAGGTGTTGATACAAGTCACGGCATGGCTGGTTAGGCTAAATGCAGTTGCTGTATGTAATGATTATCTCGTTTACACATATTGAGCTCCAGAGTCGATCAGGTAAACTTCGTTCATGGAGAGGGTTCTGTTGGTTTCAGGCAGAGGTCTGAAGAAAAAAGACAAAAAATAGGGCTTAGTCACCTATTATTATTACAACAACAAAACTTCGCATAAAAAGAAAACAGGAGATACAGTTACACAAATCGAATACACCTGGGTCTGTTTCATGAGCCCGCTCACCTGTAATGTATGATTGCTCCGTTCGGGCCGACGCTGGAAATTGTGGGGAAACTGAGGCCAACGAAATCTTTCTGTTGGCTGAAAAAGACAAAATAGCATGAGAGGGGACGCTCTCACACAATAATGCACACATCTTGATTACAGATGTTTAAATATCCAAATGTGTAATCTCTTCAGCACACTGAGAGAATAAAACATGTTACAATTGAACAAAGCATGTTCATTTCAAGGCCTTCAGTAGACATTTTACTACACCTCCATGTCCAGTAGAGGGGGATATGCCACCAGAAAAGCTACCATCATTATCTCTCAATACAAATGTGCAAAACCTCAATGGCAGCCCCACCTGCGTAATTCTTCTGCTTTATCGGCAGCAGAGATCTCTGTGACGGCACCTTTTGGAATCTATAAAACATGCAGAAAGCTTTTTAAAAAAAAAAAAAAAAACACTGGCATGTTATACAATTCAAGTGAAAGCCAAGTTACGCACGAACCTCCAACTGAAGACAGGGTTCCCACAATCACATCGACACACCAATCAGTAAGCATTCAAGATTTGTTTACAAGAATATTAGAGGGTAAAATTTTGGTGTATTGGTCAAAATAACAGATACCGTAAATTTGGGAATCATGCAATGGTAATTATTCAAACACTTGCTGTATCACATTATCACAAATATCCAAAAAGCAGCAGCTTCCTCCGTACAAAAAGTGTTTGAAAAGTTGCCAAGAAAGTCGAGGCTCATTGGTGAATATAACAAAATGTTTCATTTAAAGAAAAAACAATGACATCCTTGATTCATTTTCTTTAACGTTCAGTGGGAACCCTGTGAAGAGCGACTGGAGGAATCTGTGATTTTCTGCTATGGATTTAAAAGGGTGTAATGAAAATACCTCCTTTTCCAACCAAGCAAAGAGTTCACAAAGGGCAACTGCATCCTTGATCTGTTGGGGGAAAATAGCAGTTTAACTCGGACAGTTTACGAAGAAGCCATGAATCCTTTCCTTAACTGATGCACACAACAGATTTTAAGGCGGTCCAGGGTTTCTTACATGGGCCACTTTCATGCCTTTAATCTCAGCTGCGTTCTTCACTGCCTTGGCGAGGCAGAGTGGAGTGTAGGGAATCGGAGACCTGTTGGACTAGAACACATTAAGAGGAAACGTTGACAGTTTAAGAAGTAGCCGGTGTTACCAGACATATTTCAAGCAAAGTTATGTGCCACCTGTCAAAGCCGAGAGAATTATGATGGTCACCAAAATGCCTTGACAAATGGTTCAATAAACTGTTTATAGCCAAGAGGATATGTCTGGTACAATGATGCACATTAGGAGTGCTTTTGTTAAAACAAGGGGATTCGCTCTATTTTGAAGTTTGTACCCAATAATAACCCTGACACTAGGTGTGTTTCTGTCCTCCCATCAGAAAAACTGCAATTCATGGTGTAAGGGACGACGTATAGTATAAGTATGAGGAGACAGGTGACGCTTGGGAGCGCGGCCCCGCGTATGAACAAGGAAAACAAAATCGAGACACAATCTAGCTATCTTTACGGTGCTCTCTCACCTTGGGGACGACCTGTGTGAGAGCACAACTGGCCTTGTCACAGATCCACACTTTGTCCTTGGGGCCGTGTGCCGCGCAGATGGCCTGGAGCTCCGTGTAGACCGACTCGTACGGGAACGTACGGATGCTCAGCTCGGGTTTGCTGGGGGAGTCCAGCTGCAGGTGTTCTCTCAGTGCGGGATCAGAAAGACGCTTTAGGTCCACAAAAAGCCTGCAGAGAGGAAGGGGAAGTTCAGTGTGTTAGAAATACTGACCCATAAGTTACCATAACCATTTATTCAGTAGCATTAAGGTGATTAACAGAGCGCTGACGCTGCCAACATGGCGCTGCATTGTTATATTCCATCACCTTATTGTGTTCATCCCCACGATGGCATATGCAAAGAACACAGGGTTGTACTCGATGTCTGCACCGCGGAGGTTAAAAAGCCCTGAGAAAAGGAAACAACAGAACATTACATTGTTATAACATTTGGTGAAATTAAAGAAATAAATTGTTTCATCCCATTAGGACGGTGACAGTGTCGGTAAACAGTACAGTTAATATACTGTATGGATCTCACTGCAATTTGTTTGGTGTTTAATATCAAAGTTCTGATTGGACTTTCACTCATCCTATGTGGATGCCCGAGCGAATCCCCTTTGACATAATGCCCACTGAGACCCTCTTGTCCGAATGCTACCTGATGACAATCAAAAATTTGCATTACTCTAAATAACACAAACCCTCCAGACCAGGCAATCAGAAACAAGAGCTCATTAGGCGCGGTGAACGAGGTGCTCAGACAGGCATCTAGAGGGGCACCGGTGCATCCCTGGGTCCTTGGATCGTGATCGTGTATCAAAACGGACTTATGTAACAGAAGTGATGTTGGGTACTGCTGCTTACGCAACAAGAAAAACTGCTAAAACCTAATGAGACGACTCTGTACATCGACGAGAGAGCTCCCGAATGGGCCTTTCATTCTTCGTTCCTTTGGGGCGGAAATGTTTGGACCCCGCATTTAGAATTCTACAAGCTCTGGGCTAACCAGGATATCTCCAAACATAAACCTGGGTTCAACAAAGCACACTCTGGAGCTGTTATCCCAACAAACACAGGGCTAAGATATATTGTATGATTACAGTAAAAATGTCAGACGAACATGTTTGCTGTCAACTGAGAAGTTGTTGTGAGATTTTCACGAGCGATGGCTGTACTGTACTCAAGTCCACTTCTGATGTTCCTGATAAATGTACTTTACTGTTACATCTCCACACCGAAGGTGTTTGTGTCTGAAATGTTCAACACGTCGTCGATTTAAGTAAATCATCCCGACACTTCCATAGGTTCCAGTATCTCTTTGGCAGAAGTAATTACAGGAAGAAAAAAAGATCCGTACATGCAATCTCATCCAACGCCGTGGCAACGAACCAGGTAACTTTCCTCTTCGTCATCTTGGCTCGCAGTGCAGTGATCTTGTCCTGCCATGAAATACCTACAGGAAGTCAGTCACAGATAAGTAAATTAATTATTACCTCCACAAACTGTGTAGCTGGTTACATACCTGTATTTTGTAAATGTAAAAGCCTTGAACACAATCCAAACTATGGGAAATACGTCTGCTCTCAATAAAATAGATAATTCTTCAAGAATAAAATATTGTCTCCATTCTGTTAATGTATGTTCTCTGTATCTCTAGTTTAGCTCCTGTAAAATAAGCGAGTATGTCATAATAATGGTGGTGAATGTTGCTTGGCACTGACCGGTGTACTCTAAGCCCAAGGTGCGGAGCTGCGTGCTGGGTCTCTCTGGGCGGTCTATCCAGACCGCATCGATCAGGTTGTCCTGCACGGCCACCAGAGAGTGGCCCGCACTGGTCAGCGCCCTGGACATGTTCTTCCACTGATCTGAAACATAACATGAGAAGTGTGAAGATGTGTTGTGTGATAGACAATTCCATTGTGCTAAGTACTTTTCTTCTGTGACTTTATGTGCTTTATTCAATGGTTTGACAAAGCTATATGGTATGTCTGCTGTAGCTTCCTTTGAAGGAAGTATCCAAAAGGGGCGGGTTCAGATTAGATCAGTCGTAAATCTTTAGCGTAGGGAGTATGTCAATTATGTAGATTCGGAACAAAAACAGATGTGCTAGTGAGAAACACACCTTCCCTCCTTTCCCATGTGGACTAACCCTTTAAAAGATGTACTCAGACTGCATTCTTGGCCCATCCTCCTGCAAACTGCTGGCAGAGGATGAAGCCTTCTCTGGCTAGAGAATAAATATTCCAAAAACAAACTTCTTTTCTCAATGTTTTCTTGTTTCAGTATTTATTATTTTAGGACTCACTCGGTACGATTAAATCGTTTTTTTCCACCACAGTTAGCAGTGGTAAAATCACAGCACGAGAGTACCTGTCTGAAAGCTTATGAAGTTATTGTTCAGCGAGAGCACGTTATTAGTAATCACGCTCTCTCTGTGGTCAAAATGGAAAGATCTTTCTTTTTCCGGAACATGTGTATTGTGGGAAGAGCACGGTGTTCACGCAGTTCTGATTGTGTTAGCGTAGTTCTGTTGTACCGCAACCTACCAGCAGCGATGATCCAAGGATCGACTCCCACCGTGGAGTTCTCTGGCAGAATGCTGATCAGCCAGTCCTCCTGAGAGGGTGTCTCCTTCAGCCCTGGATATCATTATGAATCAACAAACAGAGGCATAAAACAAAAGGCCTGAGTCATGTCAGTAGTTTACATACAGCATCATTTTAGACATAAACAGGACAATCTTGCCTTGTTTTTTATTCTTAAATTAGGTCAAAACATTCATGCTTTATCGGGCCATTTTCATTTTCATCATGTACAGTAGAAACCTCCGTTGGGGCCACATTACCCATCTTCATGAGGGTCCAGTTGTTGTCCATCTGCTGACTGGCCTGGAGGAAATATCGGCCATCGGTCCACATCGCGGCGTGCTGCTCCGTGACGATGGCTGTACCTACACGTCACAACGCACAAAGCGGGTTTGACCTTTTCAGTCACAGATGCTTTGTTGGATCTGGTTTGTGCAACAGACGTAAGCAAGAAAACTGACTCTGGAACGGTAAAACATTACTATTACTAGTCTGTTACTGTCTGTTACATGCCTCATGTGTCAGTTGTGCTTGTGCAGTTCTGGGAAGCAAACAACATTATATGCCTCTGAAATTAGAGCAGCGAACAAACAGTCTGAGTATGAATGAGCTCTTCTTTTCTTTTATTTTTTCAAGAGGTGCTGATTTCTCACAGGGATTATTCCAAAGTAGGTCACCTCGCCTGAAAGTACACCTCCGCTAACATCGTAAAAAAACGATGTTTCATGTCGTACTGTACAAATACAAATTAACATGAGACGACGCATCGGGGGATCTGGGTGGTTTGTGAATACATCACAGAGTAAAAGTTGAACGAAAGTGAATTAATCACATTGCCCTAGGCTAGGTTTATCCACAGTGGAAATTCGATCTTAGCTACCAGTCTGCCCAGTCTAGCATGTGTTACATTGCCATTCACGCACAAGCAAAACATACCTGCAGAGCCATTAAATCCACAGATAAACTCACGTCTGCAGTCACACGGTGCAATGTATTCACTCTGAAAGTCATGGGGGCAGAGAGAGAAAGACAGTGAGAGAGAGCGAGTGAGAGATCAGCTTCATTAACAATCAGTGGGAAGTGGCCATCAACCAGTCAGACATTTGAATTGCCACCTTTGCTGCTCTTCTCACATCTCGTCTTGTGCACCAAGAGGGGAAAAAAGGGAGGGGAGCAGTGAGCAAAGGGCTACAGTTAATTGCGAAGGTCAGACAAGACGGATCAAAACTGGGAAGGAACAGCAGCTGCACGACCGTGAGCGTCTCAGTTTATATTTGGGTGTAATCGGGTATAAACGTAGTGTACTGTACGGCATGTGGGTGATCTCACTTACCTGGTGTGCATCTCCAGAAGGGACGATGTACGCCTGTATGGGCTCAGAGAAGAATTTACAATTCCTCATTGCATGGCGAAGCTGCCTGAGCAGCTCTCCTGTGATCTTTGGGGACATGGCAGTGTCTGAATGGAGAAAAAACACGTTAATACAATTTGTTACCACACCTTTTCAAAACAGAGCTGCAATGCCCTTATCGTGTACGAATAGGTGAATGTCAAGATAAATGCTGCTGGGATTTACCAAGTGCAAGATATCTACGTAGGTATGTGTAATGTAAAGAGAATCGGTTCAATCTAAATAAAAAACACACATTTCACACAACTACCCTTTGACCAACAAACATGGGGACACTCCCTCGTCTATGGTTCTTCAAACCCTCCCAAATTATCCAGAGATTACCTGATTTTTGGGAAGTCATGTTGCTTTTCAGGTGCCTGGAGCAGGACAGTGACCGACTGTGTAGACTAATGTTACCTGGCTATTATCGTGGAGCTCAAAGGTCACAGTCCACACTTGGATCTTTAACCTGCTGTAACACGCTGACTGAGCAACTGTCACATAAGTTAAATATTAAAATAATAGTCCAATTGGCTTGGAAACTCGTGCAGTGGGTGAATTCACTTGCATTATTCACGTTCACCCGTAGGGCGAGACAACTTTCTACGAGCTGACCAATCACGTTGCAGTATGCTTCATCGATGAGCTCTCCTATTGGCTACACCCTGCATGCGATTGTTGTTTACAAGTAGGCATTACGAATCGGTAGCTTTCTACATATAACCTGCTAACGTTAGCTACGCTAGCTAACTAGCTAAAATAAAGACAAACGGCTGCTTATGGTATTCTGTCACAGCCACGGGGTTTGGGTTGATGGGGAAGGGCGATCACTGTTATCAACAGGCCATAACACCCAACACCTAGTAGCGTTAATATATTCACCGAGTCGCCGTAGATTTAAACGTGGGTGTGGTGGTAGCATATTAGTACTTCTTCCCTCTGTTAGCTCGGTTTTACGGCTCAAAGTAAACGCATTTCTTCCCGCTTTGAGAACGGACAATACGCTCCAGACAAGCGCGTGTGGTAACCAACCCCCATTCCCTCCGTGCCACACCGCCGCTAGTTTACGTCAAAGTGCCCCCCCTCCAACAACACCCCCACATGCAGCCAGTGAAATGCTGAATACACACCGGGTGTTTTCGTCTTGTAAACGTGACTCTTGGGTTAACAAACGAAGCGCTCCTTTATCAGCTCGGACCGTGTGTTACTTTACAAAACGGGGGGCTGCCATGTCGTTGTTGACGTGTTTGGTCACGTGACTGCAGTTTCTTCCAGTCGACGCAGAGGGATCCAGACTCGCCTCCTTTTCTGTGAATAATAATCCAAAAACAAAAGACCACAATCTATGAATATCCCCAATATTATAATCCTGGCTCTACGCCAGGAGTCTAAATTACACCATGGCACCACAGACAGCAGCCATCATCAGGAAGTAAAAGATGTCTGGCACTTACCGTGTAAATCATTGGTAATACTATCAACTTTTAAAAGATATATCAAATTACTTGATAAAACTGTTGGGACTCAAGTTATTTAACTCGTCAATGTGTGCTTTACTAGGCGGTTCTTGTTTTTATTCCTTTTTCCCTCTTGACACATTTAATTTGTCTTTTTTCCCCCCAGCAGCATGATTGACATTACCTGCACTGGGGGTATAAAGACCTATGGTAGTTTTTTGGTTTTATTTAAAGGCTTAATACAGTTAATCGACTAATGCTGTATATATCCGTTATAAGCCATTGATAAGTTAGTAATAAATCGCATTTACTACAATAAAGTCCTAGTTGTAAATGTTATTTGGTTGTTAATAAATAGATTTTGGTCTAGATGCTCTACAGCAATTTTCCAGAAGGTCAGAGGTCAATGGCAGCAGTGTAACTGATGAACTAAAGAGCTGAAAGACCGAGGATGGACACTTACCAGGAATATAATACTCATATTTATGTGCCGAGATATGTTTAGGCAAAGAAATAAAAAATAAAGACAGATTGTCATCACAAGACATAAACATTATTATATTCACAATTTTCCAGACATTTACATACATTTTGACATGAATATGATGATGGTGCATAATTGAAGAAATAAAGTCTGGATATCTGGAAAATGTACAGCATAAAATTCACCCACCCGTTTAACAGTCTAAAATATTAAAAGATAAGCAACATCTGTTGCGAAACAATGAAGCGTCTCTACACCAAGGCTACATTTAACAGTTAAAGAATAGCTTGTTACCTAAAATGATTACCAAGTTGTACAAAGAAACCCGATTAAGTGACCATCATATCATTTGGTGCGCTCGTAAACATGTTCAGAGTTTTACAATATGAGGATCCATGATGATGCACGGTGTGGCCAAATCTCTGAGCTACAACGAAAATCCGGTTGGCAGCAGGCAGGCAGCAGCAAACATCAAGCCCAGGAGACAAGTCCCTGGCATCAGCATCGGACCTGCGCTTCCTGAGGGCACCACATCGGAAAGGTTATTCGTTATTATCATTATTACATAAGAATTAGAAAGAGAGACACCAAAGGAGTTCCAAAAGTTGTTCTCGCTTGAATGCGTCGACCATTTCACACTCCCAGAATGCCAACGAAAGTCTGCTCGTGATTGCAGCGTGGAGCGTACTTACTTGTACATGAGTCAGACTCTCTGAACCTGCCCATCTTCTCGCTGGTTTTGACAGACTGCAGTAGATCTGTGCGGACGTCCCCTTTAAGATACAATGTGGCAATGTTTAAATACACACAGACTGTCCAAGCCGCAATGACCGAGTTATTATACTTGATAATTACTGTATAACAGCAGTCCAAAGTAGTTATGGGTTTGCCTTTCCATCAATAAGTCGGATGATGATATACCTGAAATGCTGCAGTGTATTTCAAGCAAATAACTTCTTTAACTTTCTATAGGTGTGATTGCTTTGCACGTAATTTTGCTTCAAAAATCACTAACTGTTTATTTTTCTGTCCTCACTGAAAACGTTATCATCATCATCACACATTCTCAGCTGCATGCTGTCTTAAATCTCTCGGTGTGTGTGCATCTTCCTGCTGTCACACTCATTATCACGATACAGGAGGCCTTATTACTGCAGCTTGTGGGAGACTTGTGAGGGCATAAATGCCCGTCCTGTGCTATGCTGTGTGAAACCTCTGAACGGATACTTCTCTGTTCCCCCCTGGGACAGAGAGTGAGACACACAGACACTCAACTCCAGGATCAGGTAACTGTGCAATTTTTCAGGTTTTCTAAAGATTCTTCAATGGCTGTAATTGTTCATTGTCCTGATGGACTCAGCCTGGGCACACAGCTTTGCCCAGATAGGTCCTGGAAGCAGCTGACATCTTTATAGGCTAATATGCTGTGCATATACAGTCGGATGGATTTATATCTCATACACAAAAAAACGTTTCAATTGTGAACGCAGAACAGAACAATCCTGGCCTCAATGTAAGCATTATGCTGCACTTTCTTTGCTGAATTCTCTCTCTCTCTATATTCAGTGACTGCTGAAGACTTACCCAACTTAAACACACTATTCGTAATGGAGGGTGGCGCCTGTTGAGAATTTGAAAGGCCATATTTTGATCTTTTTGACATGATGTTCAGAATAAACAGAGGAAGAGGAATGAATACTGACTCACTCTCTCAGATCACTGTTACTGGTGTTTCTGGTTACTATGATTAAACAGTCAACACACTGCTGTGTTTATATCAGAGCATGTTATGGGTTTCTGTCTCACCAGACACCATGAAGTTCACTTGCTGGCAATTTCCATCAGCTGCAAAGCTGGGAGACCTGGGCAGGATGGTGACTCTCGCTGTCTCCAACAGCAGGACATCTGCAACCCTCTTACGAAAGTCATATCTGGGCAAAAAGAAATGAGACATCAACTCGGCTGGTCTTATAATATGATAATTACCTGGAGATACTCGGAAATACATTGTAGTCAGTCTATTTGCTCTGATCCAATCCAGATATGATCAAACAACAGCGTTCAACCAATCTTCAGGAATTGTAATGCTTTATCAGTTAAACTTTACCCTTATTGTAAAGTGTATGTTTAATAGTAAATACATTATGGATCATCCAAAGAAAACAAGTTGTTGTATTTTCTCAACAGTTCCGGTATTTTATGATGAATAGATAAGATGAACTGGTATTGTAAGTACTGTGCACGTCATCTCTGAATCACTCCTGTAGAATTTGTCCTCAGATGACCAAATCTACAGGAGTGATTCATCTCTGAATCACTCCTGTAGAATTTGTCCTCAGATGACCAAATCCTTTACCTGGAACTCAAGCTAAATGTGGTTTAATTGCACTCACCTGCTGAAGTTAGTCACTGCCGGGAAGGTCTGCAGTGCTGAAGGGGACTCTGGCAGGATGTCCGCACACGCGATGACGCCTTCTCCATTCTTCAGAATTACAGTTCCACGGACCACTACATACACATGAAACATTAACTTTAACGGCATTGCTAGTACGACCATTTAAGTGATTACTTCTGCCTACTCCTTTTCTAACATATAGTATGTTTTATTTTGTGGATTATTATTTGTTGTGTTTGAAAGGACATCATTTCTCATTTTATGGGTTATTCTTGTTTTGTTTTCTTATTGTTTGTTATACGTTAAAAATACATCTAAATCGCAAGTAAAAGAGCAAAGTTTTGTTGAGATCTTTAGTTCTTACCACTGCTAGATACACTGAGAAAAAACAAAACAATGTCCGTGTACCTGTGTGGTCTCCAGAGAGCTGCATGATGCTGTCAGTGAAGACCCGTCCCCCAGCCAGCTCGACTGTGCCGTGTCTTGCGGACACCTCTCCCACCACACAGCTCAGAGGGTTCAACAGTGAACAGCTGGAGCTCTGAAGGGGTTATAGAAAGGACGAGCGAGCACAGTTAAGCACCATTATGCATGTTATCTGGCATTAAATGGTCATGTTTTATTGTTAGGAAAAACCTAGCCCTCCTTCTCTGCACTGGTTGAAGTGTTGTCCTATTGTATATGCATATGAATATGCATACTATGCCTGTAGTAGACACCAGGTTAGGTGCAGTACATTCTTTATATGATCATATGATGAAGCATTTAGAGAGGTATAACTCTTATTGTATAACATGTACTGCTATAAACAAATACTACTGTAAGGGACATCTATCAAGCTATTTACTCAGACATCCTGCTGATGTTAGAACTAACATAAGAGTAAAAATAAACAAATTAAATACTTTGAATACTTAAATACCAGCAAACAGCTCTGCAGTAGCAAGGACACTGATTTAGATTTATACTGCTGATTTAACAGCTTGACTACTTAAGTACTAGTATCAGCCTTCCAGAGCAGTCAACAGAATCAGAAGAAGAAGCACAGGAATGAAAGAAGAGACAGGCCGGTCTCACCATTGATGTCATGTTGAAGGGATTGAATGTATCTCCCACACCGGTGCACTGGCGGGCTTCGCCGCTCCGCGCGCTTGTGATGAACATGGATGCCACAGTTGTCTGCAGGGAGGGGGGAAAATGCGGGTGTACTTGCTGTATATTTATGTGATTTCAATGTCAATCTCTTGATCCTAAAAGGTAAAGAAATTAACTTGATGGCCAACAATTAATGTTGTTCGAGTGAAGATTACAACCCTATTTATGGGCCTTACATTTTGTGTTGTCGATTGAATCATCACATCCACTGTGACATCACTGCTACTCCCATCAGGAAACATCTGCTGGCGCTGTGAGAAAGAAACATCAACATGTCCAATATTAACAGGCAATTAGAGACTGAATTGAACATAATCTCATAGTAAATAGTTCAACCAGAGTTGGGTTTTGCTGAAATATATGTAATGGATAATGCTCGATGAGGTGTCCATTATCAGGAATTAATGGGCGACAACAATCAATCAGTCAGTCAATCACAAGGTAACTAGGTCCTTCGGCATACACTGCTTTGTTGTCTATTTTACTCTAAATGAGACCATCATTTACTAAATGAACATCATGTTGTAGGGATTGAGACCATAAACTCATGTTTACTGAGGTAATAAATCAAGTGAGAAGTTGGGACATTTTCTTATCGACATCTAGAGACTTCTTTTTGCAACCAGAGGAGTCACACCCTGCTATTAAGAATGCAAGTTTAAGGATTTTGCATTGTAACCTGTTAAACCAGTCTTATACTTACTCTCAGTTAAATCTGACTGCAAATTTAGACAGTGAAGGTTAATGACAATGTTTAATCCCCAGACTATCCTTGATAATATGGCCTCTTAGGAAATACAGTATCACAAGCTTGTATCCATAGATGTAGAGCAGAGCTCAGTATGGGGCCTGTGGAGGGTGGCTGACAGAGACAGCTGTTCCCTTGGGGAGCTTCGTAGTTCAGGGGGCCTGGAGGTTTAACTAGCCAGCAAACAAATGCTAAGCTAAGCTAATGATCCTACCCCTGCTTCCCTTGGCTCCTTGTTGCAACCCACCACAGGCATAATGAATTCACTGTCTGTCCAGAGCAGCGGAAATTCTCTGTCATGTTTTTGTGGCAGCTTGGATCCTAACAGGTTAGAAAGAGAGATATTCTTGTGCGTGTTCTGTGGCCATCAAAGAAAACCATTGGATTCAGATTCTTTCAATTTGCTGCCGTCATGTGGAAGTCGCTTCTGGTGATGGGCTGGGCATTATCATTTGAACGGATTAGGCCGTTTTCTGAAGAATACTTTCTGACTTTGTGAATTGAAGAAAAACCTTCAAAATTCATATCAAAATGTCAATATCAAAACATCAAGTTACAGACAAAGGCCAACTGTGTTATCCTAATTATGGAGTGTGGTGTTTTACATGACTATGAGCCATTTGCAATGCAAAGGAGAATGCATCTCTGCCTCTAAATAGGCAATGCTTCCTGTTCTGTGGCAACCTTGTTCATACATACATCACTGTGGCTTAGTTTGGCAACCTGAACTTTAGAGAGTTAGGATTTCTATAATTGTGGGCGTGAGCCACCCACAGATAAATGCAATCTTGGTGGTGTGGGACATGAGAACAACCACTGTCTTTCTTAAAGGGGAACTTCATCATCTTTATACATCAGTCTGTTTATGGGTCTCTGTCAGTAGCGTACTATTGCATGCGTGAGAAAGTTGTATAAAGGTGTCCATTGAGTCAGCGAGATTGGGGCTGAAGACTACAAGTTTGTAAATGTCTGCTTAAACTAGCGGCTCTAGGCTATATTAGCCGCTACTAGCTTAACACCTGAATCTATAGTGGAAAGGACTGTGGCTCTTACCAGTTTCACCGTCCCAGTCACTGCATCATTGAAAACAGCCTTAGCAACAACCCATTGTCCGTCTGTAGCCCTGTCAGCTGAGATGTTAGCACAGCGCATTCTGTCCAGAAAACACACAGACACGCACAGGAAGACACAAGATTAGCAAAACATATCCAAATCCTGAAGGGTTAACCTGTAGATTGTTCTCCTCCGCAATGAATGAGGAGGTTTATCTGTGTGTTACAACACAAAACATGATATGACACTGTCTGATATCCTACACCTTTGCTTGCCCTCACTAGTCTGACTAAGTCTGTCACTGTGCCAGAGGTCCACTCTGGGTGGTGAAGCTTAGTTGTCTGCTCCTGCTGCAAAGGCATCAGTGACCATTCAAACTTTAAAGCAGCTAGAGTTGATGCCATTTTTTCTATGCTGTATCTGTATCATAATGTACATGAAGTGATGAGAAAAAGAGTCAGTGGCTACAGTATGATTGTTACAGTGCCCACTACTTCACATACAGGAACCTGTGGTCACCCTGAATGTGAAATATTTCTTCATATTTCCCTCACTCATACTCTGTTGGTTTCGTTCTGTCTAATAAGCACAAACACAGGTTCTCACCTTGATCCATTTGTTGAGTAGTGAATCACCATTGACCTTCCCACTATGCTGTAGGGTCCTGTCAATGGCATGTCAGGGTCCATGTATACAACCTCAGACTGGTTGAGGCCATTCAGAGTCCCAAACTTCCCGCCCAAGTCCCCAATCTCATACTGGTCCACTGTGCCTGCTCCAGGTATGGGGCTGTTTGATGCATTCACGACTAACGGGTTATAGTGGCCCAGGATGTTTGCGTTGGAGCAGGGATTTGCGCTGCCAGGTTTGACGGGCAGTATGTGAACATGGTAACCCCCAGCTAAGGCGTTCAGGTTAATCAAGGATACGTTTATAGTCGTGGGGCCTTGTGGGACGGCCTGGGAGAACCGGACCTGTCCGCCAGGAATCTGGTTGCCAAACCAGCTACCTAAGCTAGCTTTGGGGACCCGCACCATTGTGACGTTGGCACAAGCAATCCTTGGCCCTCCCCTTTCTGCTTCATGGATGACCACAGAACGACCGATTATGGATGACCCGGACAACCAGGAAGTGACATCAGTGAAGAAGTTTTTTGCTTGCACTTCGCCCACTGTGGTGCCAAGGTTGATGGTGCTGTGTTTGCTGGAGAGGTCTCCCACCTCGCAGGATAAGGGACCGGATGGGCTACAGTGGAGGGCATAGCTGCTGTCTCCTGTGTTAATGTTAAAGGGGTTCCAGTGTCCTCCTGTAGTGCTGCAGCGTCTTTCATCGTCATCCCTCTCTGAGCTGATGGGGTAGGTGTGAACATGCCAGTTGTGGTTTCTTGTAGGTGTCATTGAGGTATTTCCATATGACAAGTCCGTGAAGATGGATACGTCAGACAGAGGGTTGTCTTTTAGCTGGGTGAACCAGATCTCACCGACCACAGGGCTCTGAAATGTGGCTCTGCCTACAATCACTTCACCAGGATAGCTGATGCTCGCACAAACATACCTAGCACCATCTGTTTGGTGAATCACAACTGAGCGACCTACAATGCTGTTTGGTCCAAACAGAGGGAGGTTGAAGTCCGTGAACATCATGTCCATCTCGTTTCTACCTGCGAGGGACATGTGCTTGGTACCGAGGTCACCGATCTCATACATGTCGTGGGTTGAACCTGGCCCATTTGGGTATGTTGGGCTGTTCGTGTTGACACTGAATGGATTCCAGTGGCCGCCCACATTATCATTTGAACACCGGCTTGATGAAGGCGACCTGACTGAGGGGAGAGGGAAATTGTGGACATGGTAAGGGCCCACTCTGCTCTTTAAGTTAGTCAGGTTCACCCTCAACTCTGTCATATCAAACGGGGAAGCCTGACGGAAGATGAAGTATCCTTTGATCTCTCTCATATTCAAGACAGCGTTCACCTGTTTCTCCGGCACAATATAAATCTGAGCACACTTGTAACTTGACCCCATGCGGAGGAGAAGAAAGCGATTGTTGATGTTGAAGCTGGTCAGGTCCAGACGGGATTTCTCAGGCTGTGAAGGGGTTCCGACTTTTACGACGCCCATATTGGTCAAAGTGGAGGAATTCAAGCTTCTAAGAAGGACATCACAGCTTGCAGCAGTGCTTGTGGATCCAAAGATAGTGACATTGGTTTGTGAGGCATTGACCTGACCGATTGTAACTAGATCTGCAAGCAGCCTGGGGTCGGTATTTCCTTTGTTAAGGCGCATGTAAACATTACCCGCAATGGGGCCGGTGAACCTGGCCTGATAGGTCTTGAGCGTTTGACCTCGACTTACAACAGTGCATACTTTAGTGCCGTTACACGTCTGCAAAGTCAGCGAGTAGTCATCGAAGTTTGAGCTGTCCTCGAGGAAGCTTGACACGGTGGGGTTTGAGGAGGGATCAGCCATGAAGGTGAAGACGCTGGAGCCGATATTTGCTTCAGAACAGGGCTGAGCAAAATGGCCATACATGACGGGGAACGGGCTAAGGGAGAAGTTAAGTGAACCACAGCTTCCAGCACCAGACACTTTGACAGTGGCCATCTGGGAGGTGGAGTTGAAGTGCACCTGCCCTGTGACTCCTTCCATGTTCAGAGGCGCCAGAAACTGAATACAGGAAATGGAATCTGAAAAGGACAACAAGGAGGAAGTGATGGTAGTATCAGTTTTCCTACACTTATTAATACACCCTCCTCAACAAATTAATGTTCAATCATCAAAGTTTAAATAATGGTCCGATAATATCTGTGCACTACAATACGGTAGACAACTAAAGCATTTAAGTTAAGGCAAGGGAAAGATTTAAAAGCGCCCTTCAGATGTGTGTCAAGATACAACAAGATGCTCTGCTTGAAGTAGTACTTTGAGTCTGATATGGTCAAAAATTCTTAAAATAAATTGTTATGCTTCTCTCTCGTTACCACAAATCCAGAATCTATAAATATGCAACTTCATTTCAAAAGTTGAACTGATGGAAACAAGATGTCTCATATGGCTGCATATCGGACTATGACTGGCTTCCACGCTAGTTGTGATGTCACAAAACCATGTGACCCTAACCAAACTTCCTTCAAGTCTGAAACACAAATCATTCAATGGATGTTTGAGTGTCAAATATCCAAGTGAAGTAAAAACAAGCAAATGTTTTGAAAACGCACATTCCTCAAAACAACACAGTATGCATCCATCACCACAACCTCCACGTCCTTACTTTTCGCCACACAACATAGACGCCACACTTTGTCCTGCAGAATCATCCAGTATCAAATTTTATTTCTTCTCGCACAGAAACCAACTCATACACAGTCATGTTTTTGGAGACATTACATTGACTTCAGTTCAGTTCCTGGAGACTTACCCTAACTATAACCGCTACTAGCCAAATCTTTAACCCTTACCATAATCTTAACCTGAACCTAACCGCAATGTCCCGCACGCTATAGGTTGAAGCGACAGTTTAAGTGGCGCAATGTCCCGCACGCTATAAGTGTGAACCTTTGTTTTTATTCACAAACAGAAAAATCGGAGGTCTGAAGTGAGAATCAACGTAAAAAGTGTTTACTGAAGAGCTATGAAAGATATGAAAAAGCTTAAAAAATACGATAAAGTATAAAAAGGTGGAACCCTGTTTTAAGTTGTATAAAGTCGAATGACATTTCTAAAGTATGAAGACACTTAAATTTAAAAATTAAAAAGGGTAAAAGAGTTGAAAATAGTTTTATATTCTAACTAGTAAGCGATCAAAATAGGTTGGAATTGCAATCAATTTCCTGTATGAGGAAGTTAAAGCCCTTTAGAAGGGCATCAAGATGAGGAAGCCGGATGATTATAATCATAAAGATATTTTAAAAAGTGCGCATTACTGAAGCGGGGACAATTTTTAAACAGGTTTCCACCTGTATCATAACAGTATATTGCTCGTTAACACTAGTAGTCTACCATTAGATACGTGTTCATGTAATATCATTAAATCATAGATTTTGGCACTGTGTACAAGAGGTGACACACTTTTTAGTTTCTATTCTTTAAAGGGTATTTATAGCAGCTATGAATATCATTGTGCCTGTACAGCATTTGCATTGAGAGTGGAAATGTTACTTTCACAGTGCGACTACAGACTTGCTCTGAAATCAGTCATAAGCTCTATTTCAATTATCATTTGAATTCTATTAAACTAGATTAACAAGACAATAAAACGCTTGTTTGCAGTATTTTTTAAAAGCAAATAAAATGACTTCTAACTGATGAGTGTGATCAACTTCAAAGCATTGACCTATAGTGATATGCTATGAAAGACTCCTAAAGTGGTAGTCTGGAGGTTGTATAATCACATTCTTCGAACCATTATCACCCATTATATCACAACATGGTTTCATAAATTGCCTCCGTAATACCGCCCTGTGAAAGCAAAAACAGATGCTAAGGATTGCTTGCACTATTTATTACCGGGGACTTAAAATGATCAATAGAAATGAAAATGAAAATGGTGTGGAAGGACATTGTTTTTTTGGTTTTTTTTTCCAAATTGAATTTATAGTTAGAGCAACATCACATGATTCTAATTCAAACATTAAGATTGTTTCAAGCCTTTCCACGTCGGAGTGGGATTTACAGAGAGGGCTACAACCCGCTAAATATTTCAGCAATAAAACTAAGCTGCTGGAGGGAATATTGCACAACTGGTTTCAAAACAAGTTAGACATTATAGAGAAAGTTTCATCTTTGGCCTATAAATAACAGAGTCAAAACATGCAGTGGCACATGGTTTAAAATCCTTGAGATAAACATTAGACTGCCTAGTGCGTAAATCATTCATGAGGTCCATGTGGCACTTTAAACAAAGGTTAAAGTTGACCAAATACTCACCAATTAACGAAAGCAGCAGGACAGCTGTCAGCAGACGCATGATTGCAGAAGTGGGAAAGATGCACAGCAAAGAGAAAAGCTCTATTTAGAACTGGAGGAAAATGATTGAAAAAAACTTCACTGAAGTCATGCAAATCCTCTAAAGGGTGCATGTAAGAAAAACAAAACAAAAAAAAAACCTAAATTACAATGTCAAAAGCTCAAAGACAGCAAGATGACGAGTGTGCATCTAAGTGTGCTCTCCAAGAACGTGTCAGGTGTAGCTCGTTTTCAAAAGTGTGCAGCCAGCCTTGCTGTTCCCTTTTTCAGCTGCAGTCCTCCTGTGATTGGTCAGCAGGGCGACAATGGCTTGGGTATGGTGGCAGAGGAGGGAGGGATGAATATTTGGCAGCATTGATGGGTGGAGGTGGCCCATCCCTGGAGTGGCCATGCCGAGAAAGCGCTTGCTGTATTTACTGTTCAAGATGTTTGAGGATTCTGATAAAAGTGAACTTCCTCAGTTGTTTGAGTTGAAAGTGAAGTGATGCTCTATATGTTTGTGAGTAGGCATTATGGTTTGTAAGATAAACTGACACTTTGGACTGTACGCTATGTTATAATTAAACATCAAAAGGAACATAACGATGACAATCAACAGCAGCAGTCGAAATATTAAATGAACAATAATAAATACATACAAATAGTTTTTAAGAAAAAGGAAAATTGGTGGGAATAAAGACAAATAAGGTGCCCAGAATGAACCAGTCAGCCTTACAGTTTCATGCTCTCTCAGTGGATCCATTCTTCTCTTTACCCTTTTAGCACCCTCTTCCTCTTTCTACTCACATATGCCTCAGCTGTCCTTGTGACAGGGTTAAGGGAAAAAATAAAAGAGAGGAGGGAAAATAGTAACTTGTTCTAAGAATAGCAGCCCGATGGCCCATCATCGTGGGCTATTTGGGGTAGTCCATGCAGCTATGCACACATATTGGAGGACCTGTGAAGTGGGTCAGGTCCTTGACTTCTTTGTTTAGATCACTGATTGCAGCAGGAGCTGAGATTGTGATGTGATCATGTACAAGCAGGTTTACAATTGGCAGGCACACAGACACACACACACGCAGAAAACAGGCAGAGACAGCAAAAGACTGCGGCAAATAGAAACAGAGCAGAAACCGTTTTAGTGATCGTAGAATGTTAGCATCTCAATATTTATAGAATACCAATTAGAAGTTGTATGAAGGGACTTTAAGAGTACAGAGAATCAGATTGAAGAAAATCTTCTGGTTCTCTTTTACTGAAAACCAATAATTGTCCTTGTGTACACTTTGATATAAACAGGTTCATCATAAACCGATCTGGTAAGAACACGGATATGACGTGATCGACATTCAAGTCATAGTTAGTGTTATGAGGAAAGGATTGTACTGTGAAAACATGCAGCATAGTTCTATGACTTGTTTTCATGTGGGTAGCATTTACCTGAGATTTCACAACGGCAAATGTGATGCGCTTTCTCAAGTATTCAATAGGCTGATACAAAAAAATGCACAAAACATTGACTTTTTGATGTGCCCCTTAATGAAAAGCTAAGGATACGCAAGATCAAAAGCAGATTTGTCGCATTTTGCTGGTAAGACAAGCTGGCAACGTTTTGTAAGCGCAAAGAAATGTCTTTGTTGGAGGTTGCTGAACAATCTATCATCATCTGTCAGCTGCCAACAGGGTATGATAGAAATTTAAAAAATATTTTCATCAGCTGAAGTTGCCAAAGAAAACAAAATAAATATTTTGTTAACATGGCCTACAAAAACAACACATATACACGCAGCCTTCTTCCTCAAACAAAGACTGTTCTGTTCTCCGGAACAATAAATCCAGCTAGCTAAATAAACCGATCCATCCTTGCTTTGCACAACTCAGTAGCCAAAGGTGGTTGTTTTTAATTTCGCCTCTACATGCTATTATATGGGCTGCACGGTGGCGTGGTGGCTAGCACGGTCACCTCACAGCCCTTCTGTGTGGAGTTTGCAGGTTCTCCCGCGTCAGCGTGGGTTCTCTACTCAAAATTGCCCGTAGGTGTGAAGGTGAGCGTGAGTGGTTGTCTGTCGCTACGTGTCAGCCCTGTGATAGACTGTCCAGGTTGTCCCTTGTCTTCGCCCAATGGGATCGGTTTGATAACCTCATTGAGTGTATTATAAAATCACACAAATGTAGTAAAAAAAGTGTGTATATATTTCCCTCTTAGCTCTAGTGGAGTACCAGTATAAGTTAGCATAAAACGGAAGCGCAAGTACCTCAAATGTACTTGTTTGACTGTACTTTGTCACTGTCCACCACTGGATGAGATGCGATACAAATTGTGTGCATACTGTAGATCTGCTGAGGTAGAATGAAGCACACCTGCTCCTGCACATACACACATACACACACACACACACACACACACACACACCACACACACTCACACACACACACACCCTGTGCAGATAGTTTCCATATACATCCTGCACTCGGGACCAATTTGTGCTTTTTTCAGAGTCAAGAGGATGAAGAGCAACAAACCCCTCCAATTATTTCAGGCCTTAGTGACTTCATTCAAGTCGTCTCGAGACCTGGTCAGCCATTATGAGCGTTTCTTGCAGCGAGTATCAACTCTGAGCCCCGTCACTGTGGTGAATAACTCTTGTCTGAGTAAGTCACTGAGCAGTGTCTAGTTTGTCCAGGAGTACTGGTAGGGTTGGGTCTGAACAAAAAGTCCTGGCAGCTGATTCAACAAAGCATTTCTCATTAAATTGAATAGGCCTGTCATCTTCCTTAATTAACTGGTGCTCCGAAGTTAGCAAGAATAATTCGGTTATGTTGTCACGTAGAGGAGATGCCATCTCTTCTGAAAAATAGGGGAGTGACACAGTGTTTGCATTCTTTTCTGTCATTAAAACATATTTGAAATGTTTTCAATGTGATGCTTTGATAAACTGGTTTGCAACAATGTCTTCAATAACACACCTAGTTTATTTTTAATGAAGCTTTGGTTAATTAACCAGCTATTTAAATGATGTGTGAATGGGTGATCATGTCAACTGACACGTACACTTATTGCAAATGTAAATAGAGCACATTTTGCAGTCTGATGTGATATCCACAGCAGAAATGATATTGGATTATACTGGAGGTTTTGAACTGCATTAGTCATTATGTTGATTTTCCTTGTAGGTTGCTATTAATTTGCATTCATGTAACTGCACTAAGATCAACTTGCTTGAGACAAGCGATCGATCAAAATCAACATTTGGTATATTTCATACTCCGGGGAATCTGTCTTTATGTGGTCCTTCACATCAGTTTTAGCTCACAAATGAAATAGGCTTCAATCTTGTACAGTGTGCTTTTGATATCAAAGTCTATATTGCCTTGGACCTGATTCACAGTTGCACATAAAATACAATAATGCACATTGATATGTTTCTTTAAATATGTGACGCTAGTGTCCCCATGGTACACTAAGGACACAGGCTACAAATATTACACTCCACTTAAGTGAAGCTAATGGAGCCACAGGTTGTACCAGCACCCTTAAGGCCACTAGATGGAGGCAGTTCAGCATATTTGTATGAGCCATTTTTGACTTGGATGCCAACTGTTGTCTGAGCCACAATCTTTCTGTGCACACAAAAAAAAAATCCACTTTATGTGACAATGTGAGTTAATGTTTAAGCCACACTTCACACAGAAATGAACAATACCTATAAATGAAGAGGAAATGCACCTATATGCTAAGCTACACAGTGAGAACAGGGATTCCAACAAGGTATATTTTGTGATATACTTGCATGAGGAGTGAATAATATACAGTTTATTATTATTATTATTAATTAGGCGTATACAAAGTATATTTTAGGCAATACGCTTACATTTGTTTAACGCCTGTGCTGAGAAACATGTCCCCCGCTAGGTCTGCTAGTGTCTTTCTGTCTGAACTGGGACAAACATAAATAATACACGTCAACAACAGCCCGCCTGAAATCACGTGTGCTCCGGTCTCAGAGCGAGGTATCCGCCAGTAAATGCGTCGCCCGTTTGGGTGAATGACGTTCCACTTCCTGCCATATTGTGAGCCCGCGTTTCCGCCGTAGCCGGCGTGGAGCTACACAGCATGCGTTGCTGCCCGCTGAGCCCGCAGAGAGCAGCTGTTTACACCCTCGCGGTGATTGAACGTCAGCGAAAGTGCTCGGGCACGTCGCTTGAACGCAACCACTGAGTTCAAAGCGTTGGAACAAGGTCAGAAAAAGGGCCCGGGGGGGGGGGCACTTGTGTTTCTGCTGGTCGACTGGCTGCTCCTTACCCGGGACCGCTCGGGACCCGGTGAGCGGCACGCAATGTGGATGATTTCATTCGTATGTTCGGTCATTTAGATTTCGACTAATATTCTCCGCTCATGTCTTTACGAAACAAATAGTTGTGTGCTGCTATATGAATACTCTGAATTTCTAATTTAGCACCTTTTTAATTTGTGTGCAGCATCTTCATCTGATATAGGTTTTTATCTTTTGAAAAAATAAGACAATGCTGAAGGAAATTGTTGTGTATTGTTGCTTTTATCCTATTCATTTTTCTAGTCCCATGTCTGATCTGTATGGCGGGTTGCTGTCAGTGAGAGTTTATTCTTTGTTACTAAATATTTGTTGTTGTTGTAATACTGTAAGTCACCATGAGGTGCACATTACATACAGGTTAAATTACTTTATCTTCAGTTTAATTCACTGGCTGGTGGGAATGTCTTTTTATCCTTTCTGCTGGATGACACCTGCAGATAAAAAAGACACTTCAGCTGAAAGTATAAACGCAGCTAAAAACAGCTCTAACCCCCCCCCCCCCCCCCCCCCCCCCCTCCCCCCCCCCTCTCTCCCTCTTCAAATGGCATGTTACCCGCGAGCACCTCTGGCTGCCAGACATTTCTCGACCTGTAATGACTCTCTCTGGGGATATCCGTTTCCACACCAAAGCCCGGCCGTCTGAACTTAAAAAGGACCCAGACACATATGATAATTGTCTCCAAAAGGCCTGTGCTCTGACATACTTGATTTCACTTTTGTTTTGCTCCACATAGCCCTCTACGAAGCTGTGAATGTTCACCATGTGGACCTGGAATCTTAAACGGTATTCCCCCCACTCTCTGATTTAGTCGGATAGAGGGGGCCCCAGGGCCTTTATTTTTCAAAAGCGCTATTTAACCCAGAGTCTGTGATGGAATAGATTGAAAATGCAAACATGCTCCATGTTTATTTTTTCCTCCACCTCTCTCCGCACATCCTCTTTTATGTGAACTCTATTT